TTTTTTTTTTTTTGTAATGTAATAGTAAATATGTGGTTGAAAAAGAATGAAAAGTTATTAATATGATGAAAAATATTATTTTATTAAAAAATATGTGATTGAAAATAAGTATAAAAATAAGAATGAAAATTATAATGTGGCTCAAACAGTGGCATGATATATAATATACATATATACAATTGGCATACATTATCCTTACCATGCACATTATTTTCTCCAAGCCAAATTGCGGAGATATTTTCTGCTACAACACACATTCTCTTGTTAAAAAAACACACTCACTCTTTCTCGAAATCAATGTTTTGAGAACCATTTCAATCGTCGACTCGAAAATGTTAAGGGTTCAGGGGTCAAATGGTCGAATCGAGATTAACCCGGAATTGAAAATATTAAATAAATTTATTACATTAAAATTTTTATTAGTTGAAACATAATTTTTAAAATTCACTATTTAAAATTTATTATTAATATAGGAATTTAGTTAAACTAAATGGGTCAAACATTGTTATAGTCCATATGCACAAACTCTACTAAAACATAAAGGTACAAAACTTCATTTTCTTCATGTTCAGCTACTCGTTCAAAAGTTCAAGAATCATTTTCTCCCTCTTCTACCATTCTGTCGCCTCTTTCCTTCTCTCTCACGTTAAAAAATATATGTATTTTGTATCTATGACATAAATACTTGTATTTCTTTAAGATGATTTTAGATTTAAATATTGAATATTTTGATTGAAAGTTTGTGCAAGGGGTTGCTAAGAGCTCCAGTGACTATTAAGCAATCGGAGAAACGACAACTTCCTCTTCTTCGTCATGTTCTAATTTTTTTAAACAAAAATATATCCCAAAAAATCGTGATTGGTTCACTAGTTTTCAAATTGAACCGGACGGATTTCAAAATTTGACACCGGTTTCTTCACATTCGATTTCTATAGTATGATCGGACTGGATTTTGGTCCAATCCCTGATTTTTCCGGTCCAATTTTGAGAACATTGCTCCAAGTACAAACTTTTTCTTTCTACAAATACAAAACCATACTGAGATCCCTTACGAAGAAGTGGTAGTGCGTTGGTTATGACTGTGCGTTGCGATGATGTTGGAGCATTGGAATTGGACCTTTTGTGGTGGTGGTGGTGTTGATGAGAAGACAATTGTGTTTAGAAAACAAAACTGCGTGGTGGCGGTGATGGTGTGTCGCAAGTGATGATAATGCATTGGAGTTGATATGTGTGATGGTGGTGGTTGTGGTTGTGAGGTGGTTAGCAATATTTTGGGTACTGCGGTCACATATAATTACAACTGATCATAATTAACATAGATTTGGTCACAACCGATCACAATTAACACAGATTTGATATTAACTAATCATAATTAAACACAAATTGATCACCACAATTAAATTCGCCTACATTGCAGACCAACACTACAACAAATACAGTGACAACTTATCACAATCGACACAGACTTGGTCACACCAGTCACAATTAACATAGATTTGATACAAAGGGTCACCACAAATAAATTCGTACGTGTCCAAGGGTTTACACAGAAAATTGAGCCACTACCATAGAATCAGAAAATGAGTTGGTCATCGTATGAGTAATCCATTGGAGATAGACAAAGATAGGGAAGTATTCGAGTGTATAGGAAAATATTGAAGTGGAGTTTAGGATTTTGATTGCTTACAAAAAGACATAAAGGGATGGTGTGTTCTATTAGTTATTCATACAATAAATATAACATGTAAAAGAAATAACTAATTCAGATGAAGTGCTGAATTGGTGAAAAATGTGGAATTTGTATGGGAGGTCGGGGGTTCGAGTCACACCTTACGCATTATATTAAAAGTCTTTA